AAAACATTTCATCACCAATGATGTCAGAGCAACAGGTCTAAAATCATTTAGAGTCTTAGGATAACTTGTCTTCCCTACAGGCACAATTATGGCTTCTTTCCACAACTTTTTTGAAGATAAAGCGACTTTTGGAATATATTATAAAAAAACAGGACCTAGCTGATCCGCACACGTCTTTAGTATTTTTAGGATTTTCCCACCTTACTCTTTTTAAAAACGTTTATAACATCCTGCTGATTAAAAAATGTACACTCCATATTACACATAGTCTCGTTCCTAAGCACATTCATTTCACTAGTAAAATCCTCCACATCAAATCTTGTATAAAAAGTATTCAATTCTTGCGCCAGCTGTATATCGGATTGATAACAAACCAATTTTATGGGGGCATTACTTTTACTCTTGGATCCAGTTATAGTATGCATACTCTCCCAGGCAGAGCCAAGTCTATTTCCTCTAAGATCCCCCTCTACTTTCTCCTTGTACTTATTTTTAGCACTCCTAATTTCACACTTTATTTGTTTTTGCAAATCATACTTCCTTTCCAAGTCACCTGCATGAAATGCCTTGTTTCTTTCAATCATAAGAGACTTTATAGATTTAGTTATCCATGGTTTTGTATTAGCAAAAGTTCGCACAGTTTTTTGAGGGATAAGCATATCCTCACAAAAATGTATGTAACTACTTACAACCTCTGTTAATTCATCAATATCAGAACATGAGTTTTCAAAAACCTCTCAATTTGTGCAATCAAAACATCCTTGCAATGCTAAAGATGAATCCACAGACCATTTCCTGATAGATTTGGTTTCAGCCTTATACTTCTTTAAAACTGTTCTATACACGGGAATTAAAAACACAGTGTTGTGGTTAGACAGACCCAATGGTGGATTACTAATAGATTTATATGCACCTCTGACAGAACCATAACACAAGTCCAAAGTCTTGGTAAATCGTGTTGCACAGGTGACATACTGTTGAAAATTTTGCAGAGTGTGTTTCAAAGGTGATAATTAGCAGTGGTTAAAATCCCCCATGATAAAATTAGGGGCATCAGGGGAAACATTTTGCAACTTAGAAACAATACGTTGAACAGTCTCCTTCACTTTAGCCTAATTTGCTTTAGGGTGAATGTACACCACCGTAAAAAAAATTTGAGAGAATTCTCGAGGTAAATAAAATGGCCGTAATGACACAGAAAGCAGTTCAATGTCTCGGGTGCACAATGTTTCTCTTACTATTACTGAATTGCACCACCTTTTATTAATGTATAGACAAACACCACCTCCTTGACTTTTACCTGTAATCACTGAATCTTGATCAGTTCACAGAGGAGTCCCAAAGCCATTAATAGTTCAAACGGAGTTGCTGTCTTGAGCAAAATGCAGGCCTCTCCGTATGCGTGGTGAACATGTACAGTGGCTTGCAGTTCATCGATTTTATTCCTTAGAGACTGGACGTTTGCCATTACGACAGTCGGCAAAGGAATACTTCTGAGATGCTGCTTCCTCAGTCTTTGACGCACGCCACCCTTCTTTCCTCTCTTCCTCGGTTTCCATATTTTTGGCTATGGACAACAGGGGTAAAAATACTAAATGCACATAATCAATTGCAAAATAACTGTATAAATGTGCATTGGTATAATTGAGGATAGCAACATTTAAAAAAAAAACATAGTCTTAATTTTAAAAGGAACACTTAAAAGGGAAAAACACTGCCAACCTTGTTTGTTGTTTACTTCAAACTTCAAAGGCTGTGCATTTAATCAAACAACAGCAGTGATTCTGTAGTAGAGCCCACTAGGGGGCCTCAGTAAACTTCCATGGGGGCCTCAAGATTACCTAAAATTGTCAAATGAAAAAAAACAACAACCATATAAATTAAAAAAGCTAAAAGAATAAAAAATCAAGATATTCCTTATTTCTATTTACCCCCCTCAACAACTGTTGTTAATTGAAGAACCAGGATTCCCAAAGAAAATCTGGATATTTGTGGGAATCCCCTTAATCTTTGTCCAGTAAATTACAAACAACTGGAAAAGATATGGGACCTTCAAATATTGTTGTGGACAAAGGGGACCCTGGAGTCAAAAAGACTGAGAACCAAATTAACGTAAACTACGCCAGAGCGCGTACACGCCTCAAGCACCGGATGCTGTGTGCGTGCCCAAAGACAGTTGGACATAGTGGTGTATTAGAGGTAAAAAATGATATAAATACTGTTCGGTTTCTGGCACAAACCGATCGTTTCGTGTCTTAGGGCATCAATGTGTCGTCACAAGCCGCTGGGTTTAATTTGGATTTGTCTGTACATGTTTTTTTACTCTCATAGATTTTGTTACCATTGCCATGCATTATACGACTGATAGACTGCAACGGTTAAAGTTAAAAATCATCATATGTGTTCTACTGAAGAAACAAAGTCACCTACATCTTGGATGCCCTGGGGGTAAGCAGATAAACATAAAATTTTCATTTTTGTGTGAACTATCCCTTTAAGACCTCCTTAATGCACATTTATGGCCTATGCTGTCCTTTTCTTTTGCCGAAAGGTTGATTAACTTTTGTTTTCTAGTGCATTGACTACTGTAACGTTGTCCTTGTTGGTGTGTCTAAATCCTCTCTTACCCTTAATAAACTACAATATTTGCAAAACTTAGCAGCTAGAATCGCGGGGCCATGGTTGGTGACCATATAACACTATTTTGGCATCTTTGCATTGGCTTCCTGTCAATTTAAATATCCTTATGCTGACGTACAAGGCTTTGTATGATCTGACAATACAGTATTTGGCCAAACTTCTACTGCCTTTGCACACCACTGACTTGCGATCTTCTCACTCTGGTCTTTACGTTTTTCCCTAAAACATGGCTTTGTCCTAGGGGTGATAGGTACGGTGGCCGAAAAGTGCAGAACAAATCACAATTCTGAAAACAAAAGAACAAATTACAAACGCAAATGCAAGTCTAAAAAACAAAATAACAATTCAGAAAGCACAACAACAATTCAGAAAACATTATAACAAGTCAGAAAACACAACGACAAATCTGAAAACAAATTAACAAGTCAGAAAACGCAACAACAAATCAGTGCAGATGGATAAGTGCTTGCCCTTGGTTTTTTGACGCGATTGACCTGGGTTCGATCTCACCTTTTGCCGAATTTTTTTTCCTCCCTTTTCAAATCTCATATCACATTGTAAAGGCATTTATTTTCAATACAAATTAAGGAAATAATCAAAAAGTTGAAAATAATGTATCGGGTAGGGTTAGGGTAGGTGTAGGGAGGGCTTTATTGTACCAATAAGGTGGCAT